AGAATTTGTCAAGCTGTTGGAGAGATTTGTCCACGAGGATCGAAACTTGTGTCACAAGATTGTTTTGATTTTCTGCAGTTGAGAATTCAATCTGGAAGATAGAGAGGCTTGGAGAGTCTGGCCTGGTGACATTTGTGGCAGGAATAAACCACTTTGTGGGATAGTTGTTGAGTAGAGGAATTGTTGTCATTCTAGATGGTTCTGTAATTATAACTTCTCTACTTTCATTCTGGTAGATTATGGACACTTGGCGTCGGGTTCTATCTATGAGAATGATGTCTAGAAGTATGTTGTTGATATTTGAGTTGGATGGTGTTGCTGGTGATTGGTTTTCCATGTTTTTTTTTTTATAAAATTTTAAAAAAATTTAATTTTTAATTATAATTATTATATATTATATATATCTAATAATTAGATAATTAATACTTATTAGCTTTATATATTATCTTTAATTTTTAGGTAGAATTTTATTTCAAATCTGAGCTAATTAATAAGGATTTTAATAATTTGATTTGATTTTTAATTTTTAGGTTTATATTAAATTTATTATATGAGTTATAACTAAAGATAGGTTCCTAAAAATTTAGTATATAAAACTTTGCAGATCAATTATGTTTCTTTTAAAGGGATATAATTATTTATTCATTATTTTAATAGAGACATAATTTAAAAAACACTTGGATCAAGTGGCTTAAATTGCAAAAAACCTTTATAGATAGTTTTTTTTTGATCTTATATTTAAAAAAAAACTTTTTTAATAGTAAAGGACATTTGAATTATGTCCTCGTTTTTAATTTAGGGACCCATCTTTAGTTATAACCTATTGATATTTTTAAATCTTATATGAGTTTATATGAATTTATTTAATTTCAATTTTTAGAACCATATTGATTAGTAAATATTTTATAATACATATAATACTTTAAATATAGTTATCAATTTATTGTATTTGTAATTATATTGAATTTTTCAAGTTTGACAAAGTGTATACTGCTTTTTTCTTATAAAATAAAGTTCCAACTATATACAATATATTACAAAAAAAATAATATTTATATTTTTAGTTATAACTTAATAAATAATTATTAAAAATTCATGAAAATTTATAAATATATAGTTAATATATATTTTTTTTTTTTGAAAAGAGCAAATGGCTATCATACTTTATTATATTTATTATACTTTTATTTACAATGTAAGGTATAATAATCAATAGCATGACATATGTCTCTCTTTACTAGAAAGAGTTTAACACAAGGCTTTCATATGGGACTCGACTCCTATGCTCTTTTAGCACCATTAAAGGAATATAGACAAAAAGAAATTCAAAAATCTATATCTAATTATGAATAGCATCCAGTTACCTGGAATTAAATGAATACCTAATCACATGAAGGCACTATAGCCAATCTATACAAGTTGGTCTCCAAGTCATAATTAGAATTGGCACACCTGCTTTCCAAATATGGCTTGATGTACGGCAAGCGAAGTGGTGTCAAAAGTGGTGGAAAATGAATATCTTTTTGCATAAAGGCGCTATATATAGTTAATATTTTATAAACAATTTTTACTTAATATTAGGGCTCCTAACAATACTACTTCGATACTATTTCGATATCAGTTCAATACTTAAATTTACTATAAAAACATATGAGTAGGTCACAACCTATATATTAAATTTACTATAGATCGGTACCATTTCGATACCAGTTTGATACCAGTTTGGTACTTTTTCAGAACTCTACTTAATATTGTTTTAATCAATATATTAATGTTTTTTAAAATAATTTAATTTTTATAATAAAAAAATTTATAACAAATTTTTTTTATTCTTTTTTATATATATAAAAAGTAGTCAGAAATAGATAGAAAAAATTTTGGTTTTTTTTTAAATTTGATTTTTTAATACTAAAAAATTTTATAAAAATATAAAAATATTATATAAATATTTTTTTTTTTTAAAGAGGCAAATTATGCAACGATGTATATCTTTTATTGATACTAGTATCTAAGTTATACATCAAGTGTCTTCTAAGTACAGAGTTATTTTTGTACAATTCGTACACCAGCTATGTCTTCTATGTAACTAGAGTTAACACTGCCTATTGACTATTATTAGTAATAGCTAACTTAATTTGACCTCTAACCCAGCTATATGAACTTACACTTCGTGAGTAGGCCCACACGCCAGGTGGGACTAATTTCCAGGGAGTGGAAGGTTCTGCTATCAGTTTAAACCCACCTAAACCTGTTAGTCCATCTAAGTCATAAGGAGCATGTATCTTTCAGGGTTAATTAGAACATCTGGATAACCCGTTCAATACTTTTCACTTGAAATCTCAGAGAAGATACTATACTCATTGTCACCACCTGCAGCTTCCGTTTGTACGATGAATCGTCCAATCTTCTTTTAAGCAAGCACCGGATTAGAATAGCCTCAAGCTAGGATGTTCTTTGTGCTACAGAGTCTACTGTGCCAGGAGGTTTTGTGGGTTTTTATCGGAGTTAGACCAGAAGCCTTTCCTCATGCAACCTTTCCTGCTTCAACCTGTTTTTTAGCCTGTGATTGTCAGAAAGACCAGAGGTCCCATCTTCATGCAGCCTAACTAAATTTAGTCAAGATCCAGATGTTTGGTTACTTCATATATAGGAAAATCGGTAAACTTACATGCAGATGAATTTTTGCATTTGCCTCCTGTAGGTATTGAACTAGGGACATGCATTTGAAGACTTGGGAACACTACCCACTGTGCTATAGATCCACAGGTCTTAAATATTATATAAATATTTTTAACCATTTTTAATATTTTTATATATTATTTTTTTAATAAATTTATTAATTAAATTAAAAGTTATAATTTTTTTAAAAATATTTTTATAATCTTATTTTTGAATCAATTTTTTTAACAATATCTTTAATTTTAAAACAAAATATATTAAAAAATTCTTATTATTATTTACAATTATTTAATTGATTTTTTTTTATTATATTTTCAAAAATAAATTAATAAATTATAAAATTATAAAAAAAATTATTTATGAAATTATTAATTAAAATATAATTATAAAAAAATTATTATTATTTTTGTAATATACTGTATATAATGGAATTGAATTTAAATATTTTTCAAAACCCGTATTATTATTAAAATTATAATAAATTAATTGAAAAAAATTTTTTTTTTTAAATAGATAATTTACATCTTTATTTAAATTATAGTAAATATACATTAATTTTTTTGTCAATACTCAATGCACTTAGAGGCTAACTAACTTAAAGTCATGGTATAATTTGAATATCACTAAAAACTATATTACATTGTGAGGCTTATTACTAGTGAAAGTAATAATATTTTTTGATTAGTTATATTAAGTACTACTGATTCCTAAAAAAAATTATTTACGAATTAACTTTTCTATACCTTCTAATCTCAAAATTTGTAAACTTTTTTATTAAAATTTCTCAACACCTAACAGATTACTTATTGAAGTACTGTATCTTTATTCTTTTCAAGAGGGAGAGAAAGTGTGACTTTTTCTTTATCAACTTTTAAGGCCTTAACAAAGAGGAATGGTTTTAGCACCTAGCTTTATTGATTCTATTCCAATTGCCCAAGACTTCAGGTTCAATTGTTACTATCTTTTTAAAGTAATTGTATTAACTAGATGGTATGATTTCAGTCACTTATTTCTTATATCCAAGAAAATAAAGTTCTATTATAATCTAAATACAATTCTTTTATACACAGATAGAAACCTAATACTGTTGTTCTTGCTAGTATCTTTAAATAATTTTTCATCTTGATGACTATCTAAGAGATTACAACTTAAAAAGTGGATAGAACTTAGATCTAGTTAATACCTTAAAACCTATCATAGGATTAACAATTCAGTCCTTTAGACAATATCTTACTTTAAGTATAGGTTGCTTATTTAAAAAGATGCAACTCTTTCAAAGTTAGGTTATGTCTTGAAGGGAATTTTCCATTCTGGCAAACGTTACCAACTGAGTATCTTTACTAAAGATAAGAATGGTAAATATTATTGATAAGCTTAGTAGCTCTTTTGACAAGAAAAGTCATGTTAAAGATCTTGCTAAATGGTTTATAGTTTGTGATCCTTCACAAATCATGGATCAGAATCAAAAAACCCCATAGGAAAAAATATTCTGTTTACCTTGTTTGTATTTATATACATATATGGGAAAGAATAAAAGAAAAAGAAGAGAGAAGAAAAAAGTAAAGAAAAGTATACATGCAAACCCAACTATATTAAAACAGACATCTCATTACCTTGCTCTTCCTGTTTAAAATAATAACATTATCGAAATTATATAATACAAATAGTGATATGTTCTTGTTTTGTTTATTTATTACTTGTTTATTGTTATCCAATCCAGATTTTTAGCCAATGGAAACCCAGCAGATCTGGTGTAACCAAAAATTCAGGGTCAAATTGAAATAGATAAAATTCCTCAGGAAAATTAAAGAATTTTGAAACCATGCTAAAAAGGTAGCTGCATTTATGTTGTAGGGTTTCTGGAGATCAAGATATCCAACAATCTTTCAGGTTATCCTTTCTAATAGAGTTACTGATATCACAGTGATAAAAAGAAAAAGGGAAATCAAATAAACTGTCTTCTTTTCTAAAAAACTTTTTCTTGCTATTGGAGCTTAGATAAGTAAAAACTAAGAAGCCTTCTTGTTTTTACTTTGTTGAAGGGATAAATAAAACAATGGAGAGTATGAGAGTATCTTGCCAAAATCTGTCAAGTTGTATTAAGGAGAGTGTATGAGTTTTGTTAAAAGTAAAAACATGCTTTAGTCTAAATGCCATTTTGAAGTGTTGGTTAGAGAATCAGCAAGAAGAATGAATTAATTGGAAATCATATTTAATTGGAAATTATATTACTATATATAATAAATATTAACAATATAACTACATGTATAGTTATAACTAAAATAGCAAGATATTATCTAGAATTATTATTATTATTTTTTTTAATGCAAGTAAGCTTTACTCTAATTTATTAATTTTGCTGTGAATAACATACATTATATATATTTCTATTCACACTTAAAATCTTACAATTAGAATTTATCCATAAGTATACTATCTGAGTGCAGCCTATCTATAAGAACTATTTAAATGTACCAATTATTTTTTACATCTTCCAGTCTCAAATTTGTAAACTTTCCAGTAAGATCCAACCACCAATCGAATTACCTATCAGAGTACTATATCTCTATCTTCTCCTGGTAGTTCATCTTATTTAAGACAATGGACCTAAATTGTCACTATTTGGAAAAGCAGATGGAACCTATTGGCTAGAGTTTG